GCTAGGGGAGAGGAACCTGCTGCTTCAGTGCCATTTGCTGAGGAGCGAGTGAGAGTGAGAGGGGGGACCAGGAGTTTGGCTGCCCCGAGCACAAACGTGCTTGAAGAACACCTCAACCCACACCCTGAATTCCACAGCTCAGTGCAGGGGACAGGGGAAGCGAGGAAGGACAGGATGGGACATTTCCAGCAGACCCACAGCACGTTCCTAACAGCCTTGTCCCAGCAGTCCTGGCTGCCTCCCTCCCCCAGTGCCTTCACATCTCATATTGCATTTTATTAATGCAATCCCCCTTAGGCTAGAGGGAATCATATCAGGAGACATTCCAATCTCAGCTCCGCTTTGGAGGGGATCAGAGAGAGGCAAGGGTGGGGGGTGTCTCACCAGGACATTTCATTGCAGAAAAACCAGCAGGTTGAACGTGCTGCAAGACAGCACCAGCAACCTGCTATCAGACACCGAGCCACAGGCTGCGCCAACTGCTCCATGCTGCTGCTCTGGCTCACGGCCTCCAAGGACCACTTGTTTCTGCTGTGTCCATGCCGTGGGCTTAAAGCTCTACACCTGGGCAGGGGGCTGCTCACAGGGTGTGGGGTTTGCCCTTTTGTTCAGGAGTGAACACAGCTGTGCATGCAGGCAGATCTGTGCTGCCACAGGGGCTCGGCCAGGTTCTTCTGGCCACCAGCTCCTCATGCTTGCCCTCATTGCTGACATCTCTCACCAGAAATGGGAGCTGGCTCCCAGGCGTCTGGCTTCTGAGGTGAATTGTGTTATGCGCTGAGCCTCTGCCAGGAAAACACCAGCAGATGAAACTCCATCCCTGGCCAAGAGACATACAGATGGATGTGTTTTCCTTGCCCAGCTTATCTTGCGGCAGTGCTTCTCGCCGCAGCCCCGCGCTGTTCGTGTGCGCCCCGCTCCCGGCACAGACCAGGGGCTGATTGACAACAAACACCGGGGCCTGGAGCCACAAAACCACGCTGGGGCAGGGAGCTGCTGGCCGGGGGCAAATCCCAGAGCTGGATGCAGTTGCAGTGGGGCTGTGGCCTTCAGTCACAGTGAAGGTCGGTGAAGTTGCAATGGAAGTCAGTCACAGACAAGTGCAGAATAAGCAGTACTGGCCGTGTGTAACTTTCTGGCCTAACCAGAGCTTTCTAGAAATTCATGCCAAGGCTGCTGTATGAGCCTGGTTAAAGAGAAATCTGGGCAAAAACATTAAGACCACTTTACTTTGGAACTCTCAAGAGGCTTGGTTTGGATTCAGGACAACGTGCACAATTTAAGTCACCTCATTAAAAATTATGAAGAGCTTCAAAGCCAAGCGCCTCGCCAACCAACCGAAACGTTCACAAATTACTTTAGATGCTACTTTACCTTTCTGCTTCTGATTCCAAGTCCTCCTACTGCTCCCTCACCACACTCCTGTGCTGGGCTGCCAGCTGAGGAGCAGCATCTGGTAACTCAAGGGCTGTCCAAGAGGGAAATCCTCCCCAGCCCTGGCGTTTCCAAGGGCAGTTCACCACATATGCCCCCCAGCCCTGTTTGCACCTACCAGCACCTGCACAAACATCCGCTTTGGCTGCCCAGGAAAACATGACGCCGGGGCCAAAGCAAAAGAGAACCTCTGAAAATGAGAGGGTGAGAGCAGTGACTCGCCTGCTGGAGATGCGTTCCCATTTATTGCCCATGGAGCTGTGGTGACAGAGACAATTCACGAGGCCGTCACCTACCCAGGGAACAAGAAAGACATCAGAGGAACCAAAAGGGTTACTGTGTCCTGGGGCGCTGGCTTCAGGACCCTCCTCCAGCTGCTCACAGCAATGCCCCAGAGGTGCAGTGCACTGCTGACTTTGCAGGGATCCTGAGGCCAGGCCCACAGCCCCACAGCACACAGCTGCGAAAGTCACACCAGGGAAGTGGCAGGAAACAAAAGGACTTTGGACAGACAGGCCTAATCCATTGAAATTCAGTTTGTCTCTCACCTCCCCCTTCCCCTTCTCTCTCAGACCTCTTCTCTCTCCTGCTCTCAGTCCAAATTGTCACAGCAGCGTCTCGCTGCCGTTTCATGCTGAAATGTCCCACTGGCTGAGAGTTACACTATTTGCTATTCACAACAGAGAGAAATCAGAACTGCTGTTTCCTTCATCTTGCACACTGTTAGCACAGGCTGTGGTTCCTTGTGAGGCTCATGTCATCATTATCACCAAAGGAACAAGATGCTTTGGCACTATGGTCCTGCAAATTGTCCTCCAAATCCAGCTAAACAGGGATTGTATCCAGAGAGCTGGAAAAAGTGAGCAAGGGAGGCTGGCTGCAACAAAAGGGCAGGGAACCCCCATGCTCACTGTTTCTGAGGCCACAGAGCTCATCATACACATGACACAGCCGAGCCCTGCCTCACAAACATCTCCACCATTCTCATTCCTGTTGGCAGCTCTGGCTGGCCAAAGGCTCCTGGTCTGAGCCCCATCACAACTCAGGCACCAAGGAACAAAGTATGCAGCCCAGCCTCAGCTCACAGACCAGCAGGCACTGAGGCAGCTGTCGAACAAGAAAATCCATGCACTGGTGGGACCTCCCAGTCATGAAGGTTGCTATGGATCTCCTGCAGCCACCACGAGCTCCCTGATCCCCAAAGGTTGCTCCAGCCTAGCAGAAGCTGCAGGAAAGCAAGCTGGCTGCACTTGCACTGAGAGGTGTCAGCCTGTTGGTGCTCCGGGGTTGGGGTGGAAGCCCTGTGCTCCTGTGCCAGAATGCTCTGCACATTCAGCAAGCTGCACACCGATGTAAAGCTGAGGGCTGTACAGGCAGACAGTGGCTGCGAGAGCTCCTAGCAGAGCAGTGTTAGCAGAAAAGGCTGGTGCTGGCTGCACGTAGGGCTGTCGGCAGAAGGTGAGCACACAGGCTCCCAACCCACTCAGTGGGCCATCTTCCTGCTGCTGAACATGTCCCTGCTCTGCTGGAAAATGCTTGGAATCCCAAACACACCATGCGCTCTCTTTTGTGCTCAGTGTCTTGGCAGGAACCGGCTGTTCTCACGCACGGTCCCATCTCTGTAAGGCCTGTGTTTCCCAGAACACCCCCTTCCCAAGTCTCCCTTTTTTAAGAAGAGCCAAGCTGCCTGTCGCTGCCTCGCAGGCTGCTCCCACGCCTCTCCCCGCTTCCCCAGGGCACCAACAGCCTCCCCTGGCATGGGCTGAAGGCCCTGAGCTCCCGGAGACACCAGCCATTCAAATGAAAGACACTAAAGAAAAGCGAAACAAAGGCAGGAAAACTTTCCTTGCTGGAACCCAGCTGTCTGACTCAGAGCTAGGCAAGAAAGTAAGAACTGCTGTGTGTTCCAGAGCAGCGGAGTGTCCACTCCACAGCATGCAGCCTGAGCCCTGCAAGCACTTTTTCCTGCTTCTTCCCTCTGGCTGCACCCACAGGTGTGGCCTCTGGGATACCTGCAGTGCCCACTCCAACAAGGGACAGCTGCCATCCCCAGTGCTCACAGTGGGAGCTAGACATGGCCTGAGCTGTGAGGTGTGGAGCTCTACAGCTCTACACGTTAGATCTGTGCAGGGTCAGGTCAGGACATCGCTCTGGACCGCCTGACACGCAGTGCTAGGTGGGCTTTTGCTTTTCTGCCTCGCCTTCCTTTGCTCAGCATTGCAGTGCTGTCCAAGCAAGGCCACCACCAGGCTCACTCTTCTTGCATCTGCTTATCATATTCAGTATTTACATCCTAAATATGGTTTCCATAAAGTAGAACACGAACAATTCATCACAGACGAATAAAACAGTCATACAGCCTGGGAAGTTAGGAAGCTTTACCCACTCCCCATGCACCAGCACAGGCAGCTGGAGATCAAAGTCTCCTTATTTGCATACATTTCTTGAACCAATTTGCAGTTGATCTCTGCTGAGGGGATGCTGACACAGTGCAGAGCCTCTTCCCCACAGGAACCAAGAAACTGGAGCTGTGCGCTGCCTGCCTCCATCTCCAGGCTGAGCGGATGGAGGCTTTGGCATCCCCAAATCAGGGGTTTACCCTTCCTTCCCCTTCCTCAGCATCCTGCCCAGGAAAAGCTTTCCTGTGGGTGGTGAGTGAAGGGCCAGGCACACACAGGGGCTCCCACAGAGTCCCACAAATGCAAAGCAGTGATGCAGGCACATTTCCTGCGTTAAATCCAGAGATCAGGTCTTCCCTGTGGGCACTGAAACATCCAGGCGTGCAGAGGATGGTTTTTGTCCTGTGGAGGGGAACTGGAAAACACCTTCACTGCCCTCCCACTTGCTCCCTTCGACCCAGGCATCAGTCCTTTAATGAACTGTCACAGACGAAAGCAGAACATCTGACCCATTTCTTCTAACCTGCTTTGAGGCAGCTCCAAGAGCTTTTGTGGCCCCACAAAGCACGCACGGGGCGGAGAATGGTGAACACTTGTGGGATTTCAGCACCACTTTTCAAACCCCCTCCCAAGCTGCCACGCAGAGCAGTCCCAATTTCGAACACCATCCCAGTGAGAGCAGAAACCAGCTCCGGGACTGGAAGGAAGCGCTTGCAGCGTGTGTGCAACTTGCAGCCAGGTGCTGCCTCGCTGCAGATGCAGACGGCCGGAGGCGAAGCAGCATCGTCAGCCCGGGGCAGCAGTGCGCAGCCCCGCACCTCCTCCTTCTCTTCTTCCTCGTTCTCCTTCTCCTTTCCCCCCCAGCCGGTGCTGCAGCCCCCGGCAGCCCTGCGCCGTCCGGCCGCGGCTCCCGGCGCCTCACTCCCTCCCTCCCAACGGGGCGTGAAGCCCGGGGGGGCCGGGGAGCGGCGGGGCGGCCCCGTTCCGGGGCGGCCCCGCCCGCGGTACCGACGGGCCGCATCCCCTCGGCCCGCACGGCTGTAACCCGACGAGGGGAGAACAAAAGGCAGGAGCGGCGGCGGGCGGGAGGGAGGGAGTGAGGGAGGCGCGGGGGGAGGGCAGGCGGCCGCGGGGGGATAAAAGGCGCTGCGGGACCCCCCCCGCCCCATGTCCGAGCCCGCCCGCCCCGGCCTCTCCTCGCCGCCCGGCATGGCCCGCCCGCCGCTGCCCGCCGCCGCGCTGCTCGCCGCCGCCCTGCTGCACTGCGCGCCCGCCGCGCCCGCCCGCCGCCACAAGCCGGTGAGTGGGGACGGGCACCGGGACAAAGAGGGTTTGCGAGAGGATCCCCCGCCTTAAAGGCATCGGAAGCGGCCGTTCCGCGTGAGAGCGAGGAGACGGGATAACCGGAGGAGAGGGGCGAGCAGGCAGCAGGGGCCGCCAGGTCCCGGCACCTGGGATGCGGCTGCGGCGCCGTGCCGGGGAGCGGCGACGGGAGGCACCGGGAGCGGCTCGTGCCGGGAGCGGCTCGTTGGCTTTTTAGGCGTGTGCTGCACCGGTGTGCCGTAAAGCAACGGCAAAGCGAATGCCCGGTAGCAGCCCGCGGGGATTAGCTGAGGGTCTGCCGATGGTTTTACTCTCGGCTCTGTCATCTGAGCACTTTCTAACTTGGCTGCTAAGTATGCCGTGGGCTGGGACTTGGCACCGAGCAGCCTCGGCCCCCGAAGCGCTTGTATTATTCCAACCCAAATGTCACCGCTCTTGGCTCAGCCGTCACTCTGAGGAAGGCGAGGCCGGGCGTTCCCGCGGCTCTCACCCACAGCGGCGGCCGCGCGGGGAGGCAGAGCGCACGGCCGGCGGTGCTGCTGCGTGCGGGGCCGCTCGCCGTGCTGGGGGCCGCACGCCGGCTGGGACGCTGCCGCTCCCGAAGGGACCTGAGCGGGCTCCGCTCCTGCTGCCGGCAAGGACTCGCGAGGTTCCCAGGGGACGGGAGAGCCGGTCACGTGTGTCACATCCTACAGACGTGGGTCCGGTCCTCGCACCGTTCGCGTTCCTCCCATGGTGCGTGCAGCTGCCGGCCGGCTGTGAGGGCCGGCCGGACCCCCAGCTGGTAGCCTGCTGTCCCGAGACTGTTTCCTCCTCACTCTGGGTTAGCGCTCCACATCCTGAGCGCTCATACTTTTGTCTTGGCTCGAGTAACTGCACGTGATACCCCTACAAATATGTTTCGCTAAGGAGCATCTTGTGCTGGTGTGTTTGATCAGCCACGTGGAGATCAGGGTTGTAAATCAACGTTTCATTCAGTCTTTGCAGAGAGTGGCTGTGCTGCTTTGAGGGTTGAAATGGACAGATGTTTTTCCATCCTTTCAGATAGAAAGGATCATCTCAGATTTCCTTTTGGGTACATGTTCCTTATCTGGTGTGCTCCTGAAGGGCATTCTGGTGCCTCCAAGTACAGACAGCATCACAGTGGTTGCTCTCGGCAAGTAAGATGACAGCAAAGTGCCTCATCCCACTCCCAGTGCCCCTGCTGGGGTACGCTGTGGGGTGGAGCAGTGACTGCAGCGAGGAGGACTGCATGGTTGTCAGTGAATTTCTGGCCTCATCCCTTCTCTGCCCTCGTAAGAGAGCTCTCCATGCCATCACATGCTCTCCTGGCTAATTTTAGTCCTTCTGCACAAAGAGATGTTTCCCCATGTCTAACTGCAGCTGTTTTCCTTCCTGTGCACCTTGTGCTGTCAGGTGATGAATGAGAAGGGAGCCAAAGGGCTGAGCTGGGAAAGGAGGCTCGCTCCTCTGAGACAGAACATGGTGACTTCCTCTGGCTGTGCCAGTAGGAGGTGTGGGCGAGGGCTGCACTGCCAGCACCCCATGCCCAGACTGGGGCTGCTGGGTGCTGCAACACCAAATGACAATAGCTGTAGTTGGGGAGGGAGGGGAATAAAGGGTTAACATTCATTTTAAGGCTGGGCTTTAGAAGCTTCAGTCTTTGTAGGAAGCTCTGTAGCTCTCCTTCACTTTTGCCTTTATGCCTAAGAAAGAAAAAACAGAGTAAAACACAGGCTGTGTCTGGTGTCCACAGTAAAACTTGAGAACAAAAGAACTGCAGTCTTTGGGCAGTGCACGGCAGTGCTGAATTCCTGCATTGCTTTCAGCTCCCCTGGGAATTCAAAGTCACTCCTCTTGCTGGGAAACTCTCCGTGGAAAAGCAGTGGCACCTCCCCAGCTGCCAGCACCATCACCTGGGAGCTGCACGCCGCAGCTGTGCCCCCAAAGCCCACAGTCCAGGGCTCCCTGCACTGCTCTGCTGCAGCCCCCAGCTCTCAGCGGAGCTGGCGAGGCGGCTCCTGCAGGAAGGGTTTGATTTGCGCTGTTTGGTTTGGCTATTTAAATACTGCAATGAGTGTTGGGGTAATTTTAGGCATGTTTATCCTCTGCTCTGGGAGAGACTCGAGACACATGTAAGCAGTTATTCTCCAGTGGGCCTGTTGTGTTTGTGCTTTCACATGCAACATGCACACACCCTGCAGTGTGGCAAATGGGGTGCAGCTGACAAAGCAGGCTGAAAGGGAGAAAAGGGCAGAGGGGAGAGGAGCACTCTGTGAAGACCCCACGCTGCAGCACACGCTCACTTTTACTCGCTCCCCTGGGTGCAGTCTGCCCTGGCCCACAGCTCAGAGGGGTTCGTAGAAGCAGGGCAAAGGTGTTGTTCAAAATGGGGCTTCTGTGGAAAACTTTTCATGCTGAGTCTGCTTGTAGCTGTCCTCCTTGTGGACAGTGGGGTTAAGCAGAGAGGCATCACAATCTCACACCATCTCACTTAAGTGGCTCTGAAAATTAGTGGAGGGAGAAAGTCCACTGGATGTCTCCAGCACATCAGGCAGGGGGACAGTGCTGTCTTGTGGGTTTGGAGATTCCTGCCTGCATTCCCTGAAGGCAGAACATCCCCCATAGCCCTGCAGAGGGCTGCACTGTGCCTGGTGGCTGTACCAGTGAGAGGTGTCCTGGCTGTTGTCCCTGGGTTGAGCACCAGTCGCTCATCACTCACCTCAGCTTGGATGTAAATGCACAGTGAACAAAAAGATCTCAGCCCTTCCTCCTCTGGCTGGAGAGCACTGCATCCTAGATTGGTTTCTTGTCTTCAAGGGGATTTCTAGGTCATCAGCCTAAGGGCTCTTGAAACCTTCCACTGTCCTGGCATCCCGAGGCTTGTTTGCTTTCTAAGTACTGCTGCTTCTGGCAAACTGTTGCTTGGGTGACACCAGCAGCATGGCTGCAGAGTTAATGATGGACCAGACTCACAAACTGTTATGTAATTAAAGCGCCTGATAACAAAAATAGTCCTGCAGTGTTTATTCATTTGCTTTCTGTTGTTACATCAGAGCCTGAGCCTTTTCATTCTGACTGTGGGCATAAACATTTGCAGTCTATAATGTTTCGTGTTCTGTGTTGCTTAGGAAAAATAAACATTTTCCTTCTTTCGCTGCCAACAACAACTATCACCAAATTATCCGGAAACAAACCGTCAGGCCCCAGGAGGTCGTGCTTGGTGGTGCTGTGAACTATGGGAGCGAGCAGAGAGGAACCTCCAACTGTGTGAAGGCCAGGAACTGCAGCACCTCCCATTTGACCTCGTTTGGCCAAAGGTTGGCCTTTTCCTTTCCATTCCCTCTGCTCTGTGTGCAGTAGGACAGAGCTGCAGCGCAGCTTGAAGGAGCCAGTCCTGTTATAGATGTGTTTGGTGTAAGTAAAGAATTCAAAAGGGTTGGGAGAGAGACTTGTTCAGGGAGGAGGACCAATAATCTGTTGACTTTGCTTACACGCTTCTTCTGCAGCATTTCCATTAACTGTGCCTTCAGCAGCACAAAAAAGATGTTTCTGCTGTGGACTTTCAGCTACAGCATTCACACCTTTGTGACCATCCAGTGCTGCGCTTATGGTCTGCCTCCACTCTCTACTCCAGAGCAGGGTGACCCCGGTTTCAGTGCTAACAGCTGCAGGTGCACTTCCAATCCAACCCTGCAGACCCGTGCTGGGATGAGAAGCAGGCTGGCCAAAATACTGGGCACAGTGCTCTGTGCCTGAGGAAACCAGTGCTGATGTCCAGCAAGACCATCACCAAGAGCCTGCTCAGCAGTGCACAGCCACTGAGGGGGCACAGCTGCCTGGCAGCAGAAAAGACATGCTGGAACTGTTGTACATGAGAGCCACAGGGGAAATCGTATCTGCTCTTCTTCTCTGCACATTGAACTAAGGGAAGGAGTGCTCCAAGGTGGATGGGAGGAGGATAATCCTACTAGCCAAAGGGAGAGCAAATACTAGGGCCACACCAAATACTCTGAGTAACAGAAGAAGAAAACAAGGAGAAATAGAAAAGCATCAGAAGGGGCAAGGAGGTGGGGAGAAAGCCCATCTACTCATCCCAGAGCAGAAAAGAAAACAGCCCTCAGCGACAGGGGAAGTATCCAAGACTGATGGAATTCAAGCTGTAGCTTGTCCAGTACCTCCCATCTGACAGGGAGGGGGGTCTCCTTTCATGTCTGTGCTGCAGGAGTCAGCAGGAGCCCAGCCGTGGAGGTAATTAGGTGTGTGACAGAGAAGACAAGTTTAAGTTCAGGGCAGGCAGCAGAGGATGGACCCAGTCAGAGGAGAGCACCGAAGTTGTCTGTACCTGGCGGTGGCCTTGCTCTTGAGGTTTTTTATACACCCATTGTAGCTGTGCTGCTCTGGCTGCTTCTCCTTTCTGGGGGATGAATGCTGCCCAACACAATGAGGTTGAAGATGCTCCTGGCTCCTTGGGATGGCTGGGACACTTCCTGGGAAGTTTGGCTGATGTTCATCTGGCCCCATCAGAGCTGGAGAGATGTATGTTGTGTCACAGAATTTGAGTACTGAGACAGCTGGAAAGAACCGAGTGGGCAGCCAGCACCTCCATGGTGGTTTCTGCTCTCCCATGGGATCAGTCCTTCCCTCCATCTCCCCCTCAACCTTTTGGTCACAAGGCTGTTAAGAAGAGGTTTCTCTTTCTCTGCACAGCCCTCTTTGTGAACAGTTTTGTTCCTCTGCTCTTCTCTGCTCTGGGTTTCAGGCCTGGCAGCCCCACTGCACTCAACCACTTCTCTGCACTTGCAGAAATTTTGCTGCTCAGTCTCCATTGCAAAGCCTTGGCTTCTTCCCCCGTGGGAAGCTGCCTGTTCCTGTGTACACTCACCATCCCTGACTATGGGTTATCCTGTGAAGGACAGCACAAAGGGTTGCAGACTGCTGTAGGCTCAGAGGCAGCCCTTTGCATGGGAGGCTTCTCGTGGGCTGGGGATCAGCTGTCACTGGGGAGAGCTGGCAGGCTCAGTCTTCTGCAGCCCTTGGCTCCCCCATGCTGGCAGGAGAGAATTGCTGGGGGTGAGGCAGGCTCTCTCACACTGTCTGATTTCCCATCTTCCCTGCAGGTGCTGTTCTTGTGCTCTGAACCAGCTCTGCTTTTGGCCGTTCTGAATGTCTTTCCTGGCTTGCAGAGACCTCCCCTTGCTTTTGGTCTTCAGCAGTCCTTTCCCCTCTGCTGGCAGGATGGGAGGAGTGGGGATGCCCTCATGGTTACCCTACAGCTGTTGCCTTCCTAAGCCCTTCTCCACAGGTTTGTCCTTGCTTCAGCAGCAGCACAGCTCTAAGCAAACCCCTAAGCATACAGTTAGGGCATACCACATATGAAGAGCTCAATAAAACAAAGCAGGAGCTCCCTGTAATTCCCATACATATCCCATAGATGGGTGGTTTCAGCACAGGGTGGAAGGGATTCAACCTTAAGTGACAGGATGTGCCTTATCTAAGCCTTGGGAAGTGACTGCAGTGAGGTGTGTCCAGTCAAGGAGGCTGAAATCTCCAGCCTGATACGTCTCCTGAGCATTGTTTGGAAAGTGGTTTCTGCCCGTCACATTTCCCCTTGCTGGCTGTGCCTGCAGTGGCATTTTCCAGCCCTTTCCTGCCATCATGCTAATGTCAGTGTGGTGACGGCAGAGAGAGACTCTATGCCCTACCACTGTTTGTGCAGGGGTGCAGCAAGTGCAGGGGCAGCAGGGCAGGTCTAACGTCCTGCTTCCACCCAAGGGACCTGCTGGTGTCCCCTCCCAAGCCCAGTCAGGCTCAGTCATGGCAGCAGGAAGGCAGGTGGAGCAGGGAGGGTCCTGCTTAAAGGTAAAGTTGGGTCTGGATGTTTGGAGTTTGTGCCAACAAGCTCAAGTTAACCAAACAGTAGAGACAAAACCTGGCTGTCCTTAGCCCCTGCACATAGGTTCCCCCAGGGCAAGAAGGAAAAAGGTAATTTCTCCTCTCTGCCTCTGCTCAGACATTGATAATCTCTAGTTTATGCCAGTGTTCCTAGCCAAAAAGCCAACAATTGACTTTTCCTCCAATTGTCAGGCCTCCAGTAGTTAGGGTAGATCTTGCTATCATAGCCAAGACAAAAAGCCCATCTTCAATTTCAGCTCACTTGCCTGCCTGGGTAACTCCTGTCCCACTTCCACAGTGATGGCTTTCCCTGGAGTCCATCTCCACTCCTGTTCCCTGTGTGCCTTGAAGTGGTTGCCTGCTGCCTCCTGGCCCTGGAGATGCAGACACATTCATCACCCCATGGTAGCAGAGTTCTCCTGAGCAGCGCATGCAGTGTGGGAAGCCAAGAGCCTTTCAGACTGGGCTTTGGTGAAAAGCATCGGCAGACGCAGCTGCTGTTATATGCTTGACAGAGGGTCTCATGGGGGCTGAGAATAAAATATTGGCCAGGACACAATCCTTATGAGTTCCTCCTGCCAGCTGTCCTTCTCAAACATTAGCTGCCTGGGAGTGCCAAGCCACTCTTAGAGAGTTCAGCTTAGAAAGACAGGTATCTTGCACTTGGCAGGGCTCCGGCATTCAATGGAAGCAGGCTGGTGCAGCCTCCTCTTGGACTGGCCAGCTCATGCACCCTCCTTTCACTAAGGGATTGGACGGATTCCCCATGCAATGGCTGGTGGGTTGAGTGGGCTTTGTTGTGCAAGACATAAAATGGCTTTCTTTGCCCTTCTTAGCGGTGTGTGAAAGTGCAGCGGGATGCCAGGATGGGGTTGATGCAGAGGCTGGTTTCTAAGGCAAAGGCTGGCAGATGCCAAGCCCCAGGCTGGCTGACTGGCAGGGAGGACAAACCAGCACCATGAAGTAGTGACAGACATACGAAGAACTGGACACCTGAACTGCACCTTGTGCAACCCCTCTGGCTCCTGTGCCCACCTATGCATCACTCCGAGGCACGGGGCAGTCTCAGAGTCAAAGCCCAGTAGCGGAATTAATGCCAAGGGCTTCACACTTTATTCCTGCCCGCATGAATGGGCTCATTGTAGGGGAACAGAGGGACGGCAGCACGCGGATTACACGGCATTGCGGCAGCGCTGGCATCGCGCCAGCCCGACCCTCAGTCCTTAGGCAGGCGGGAGAGCTGGCCTGAAAGCAGGCAGCTCTGTGCAAGGGAAGGAAGAGAGCCCTACACACGACTCAAGCCCTGTGGGACGGAGCCTGCCTGCTTGAGCAGATGCATCACTGCTGCATCTCAAGCCCTCCTGGTGCTCAAGCACATTTAAATCTGGCTGCACAGAATGAGGCAAAAAGGGCTGCGTTTGGACCCAGGGCTCACACAGCACAGTTACTCGGGAATCAAGCATCTTCTCATCTTATGTACCTCACAGCAGATTGGGGATTAAGCTTGACTCACGTATCATGGTGGTCCTGTGACCCATAATCTTGCTGTTAGTTGGGAAACCAGTGGAAATCAGTTAATTAGCACTGTTAATGCTTCCAAGAGGAACCAGGCTTTTCTAATTAAGTGTGAGAGAGTGGAGTGACCTTTCTGCAAGCAGATCTACAGACATAGTGAGGCAAGGGGGAATGGTCCTGTCCTTCTCTCTCTCACACAGTGACAGGGACCGCAGGAACAGTCACTGCTGCTCTGCCCTGGGCTCTGTCACCCTCCAGATCCGTGTATCCTGCTCTCCAGCTCGTGCAGCCCCTGAGCCATGCCAGGGGTCTGCTTATCGACTACAACACCACAGGAGGGAGAACGGGGAGCACAACCACGTGCTGGGGACTAAAGGCTTTCTCCTTCTCACATCACCCACATCACCGCTATCAGGGCAAGGAGGGAACACAATGATGTGGTGAAAAGTGGGAAATTTTACTCCCTCCCTAGTGATTTGTTTCAAGTTTGGAGGGTCTGGTTCTTATCCACAGTTTGCAAAAGCATTTCATGCTGTCCAGCTGTCAAGGAAATGTGGACGAAAAGTAGATGTAGGGGATGCTATGGAATTAGACTTTGTTCACAGGTATGGCCTGGCCTCAGAGCAGGAACCCAGGGAACTGAGGATGTCTGTGGGCAGCAGGATGTGCCTTAGCAGCCAGGGAAGAAACCAGGGAGAGGCGGAACTCACCTCTGCAGGTCTGCTGTTGGTAGATGTTCATTCCTCCATCAAGACCTCTCATATCCAAGACACAGAAGTGACAGCTTTGTTTTTCCCTTCCAGGACATGTCTCGAAAACATCACACCTGGAAGGAGCAGAGTCCCTGGCTTTCATCCCTGGTAGGGACTGGGGTGGCCGCCAAGAGCTTCCCCATGGGTGCAGATGAGCAGGCAGCAGGCTGGAACCCACCCCGCTGTGGTGTGCCAGACCTCCCGGTGCTGCCGGACGGCCAGAACGGGCGCAACCGGCAGAAACGCTTCGTCCTTTCCGGGGGACGCTGGGACAAGACTGACCTCACCTACAAGTAAGAGAGATGTGAAATGAGAGTAAGACTCAAGGCTTCTCCCTCCCTAAAACTCTTCATCTGATGTCCCTTGACTGCGGCATGCTGTGATGTCCTCACACAAGTAGGAGGGCAACCCTGAGCTGGGTATAACCAGCTTGGCAGGGCAGCCACACACCAAACCGCCTGCAGGACTGCACCCAGCACCTCTCCATCCCTTCACGTGTTCCTGTAAATGCAGCTGCTCACTCCCCCATCCCAACACCTTCTGCACAGCCACCCCTCAGCCTGTCCACAACAGCATCCCCGCGCATGCCTTTGCTTCCCCATATCAAACCCCAATGCACACCGAGCTGTGCAGCAGCACACTCCTGCTGTGCTTTTGCCCCCCACAGCCATCATTCCATAGGCTGACCTCACAGTTTGTTTTAAAAAGTCAGTTTTATGCTGCTGCTATTGATGTTCCCATAAACATGATTCTGGTGTCAAGTTTTGCCCAAACCAGCCCACACATTCTCAAGTGCAGATCTGCTGATCAGGTCTGAGGGAAGGTTTGTTGTCTCCCCAGTTCCCCATAGGGTGTGAGGTGTGAGTGCTGAAGTGAGCACACTTGTAAGGACTTCAACAGCACACAAATAATATCTTGTTTAATTGAGTGCAGAAGATTGTTCCTCACAGCGTTAGGAGGCTACAGATGAAAGAAAGGCTTCTTCCATTTTTCACTTTTGTCAACAGTGTTAAAGGAGGAAACACAGCTGAGATGAACACACACCAACACTTAGTGGAAGGGAAAGCAAGCTCCTTTTGTAGCAGACCTGACACTCTGATTATGTTGCAGAGAGCAGAATAGGCAGCTGCTCTGAGCAAGCCCAGATTTCCAGGGTCAAAAAGATTGAAGGGCTAAAATAATATCACACCACTCCCAGGCAGCTCTGTGGGGATGGACTCAAGACAGAACTGGGAAATGCTGCAGCCCTTTACTCCACAAAAGCACAGCTCTGCAAAGCTCTCTTGAGAGCTCACCTCTGGGACCAGTAGCCCGAGGGTTTCAGCACTGATGGAATTTGTCTGCTGCAATGTTGCATGGAAGAGGGTTCTGGAATGGAGCATCTCTGGATTGGAGGTACTCTGGTGCCAAGAGGGAGTGGCTGATGCTCTTTTCCCCTGGGGTCTTTTGCCTTTCAGAATTATCAGATTCCCATGGCAACTTGTAAAAACCAAAGTGAGAAGGACCATCGAGGAGGCTTTGAAAGTCTGGAGCGATGTGACACCGCTGACCTTCACTGAGGTTCAGGAGGGCCGGGCTGACATTGTCATTGATTTCACAAGGTGAGCGCGGCGGGCAGCAACACGCTGCTCCCAGATGGAGCAGCAGCACTGAGTAGGAGATCCCAGGCCTGCAGCTGAGCTGCCAGCACAGCACGGGCACTGACAGGGAGACTCATATTTCAGCTCTCAGACTTGGGCATGTTTTTGGTTTTTCTGTCAGATGTGGGCCGCTTAGTGTAAATGCAGCTGTTCTGTGCTGGCTGTGCACAGTACCGTTACTAATCCATCATTAACTCTGTGTATATTTACATTTCTCTGCCCACAGGCTGTTTTCCTAAGTGTTTGTTTTGACGTTCCATCTTCAGGTCCTCCATCCTGTCCCCTGACAGTACAATGTAACTGTCTGCCTGAAGACAAATATAGCTTCCTGGTTAAATGAATTTTGGCTCTTGGCTTGAAATTAATGGCTGGCAGAACATTCACAGGAGCAAAGGCTTCCCTCTGTGGCCTGTTTGCACAAAACTGAGAACGGCAGTGGAGACTGTCCAAGCAGGGACGCGATTTGTGTTCTGTGTATTTGCCTGTGCCACCCTCAGCTCCCTACAGTGGTCACATCCCATGGGATTCCTTCAGTTGCCAACAGTGGGCTCGGCTTGAGTGAGGACCTGAGGATTTGGCTGGCTTCCTCACAGGCTGCCCCTCCACATTCCCTGCCATTCAGCTAGGTTGATTCAATTCTGGCTCCGGCAGCCACTTAATTCTTTAGGTTCCATCTTCAGCTTTGTCTTGAGAAAACCATAAAACTCCCCTGGGCTTGGTGTGATGGGGCTCTACTTACTGAGTGCCCTAGCACAGAACCAGGTTGGCATCAACCTGTAGGGCTCCAAGCAGTCAATTATGGGATGAGCTTGTGGTGGGACTGAGACTTGCTGTCTCCTCGTTGCAATTCTCCACTTTGGGCTGTGCAGTGCCAAGCACCTGAGCCACATGGCTGTTTGTCTGAGGCGCGCTGTGGTTCCCCTCCAGGTACTGGCATGGTGACAATTTGCCCTTTGATGGGCCCGGAGGGATCCTGGCACACGCATTCTTCCCCAAGACGCATCGGGAAGGAGATGTCCATTTTGACTACGATGAGACATGGACGATCGGGAACAACCTGGGTATGGTACTGTTTAAGGCAGCTGTGCTGTGCCAGGTGCCTGTCAGCACACTTAGAGATTATTTAACTGTGCTTTGAGCAGGGGCCCTGTAAAACTGACACGCAACCATCATTCTTGTGGGATGTATTGTCACTTCCTGCCACTTACAAGCCTGCTGGACTTTTTTGTCCTCTTCCAGCCACAGCAAAGCCTATGCCCAGCACTTGGATTCCCAGAGCAGACACAGGCTCACACACTGGATGACACACCAAGTGGCTTCCAAAGGACAGCATAGCAATCAGGCCTCAGACTCAGTCCTGCATGCCCTCAGAGTATTTTCCCTTTGAACAAGTCCATAAAGGGAATCTACCCAGGCTCCAGCTCTGTCCCTGTGGCCTGGGAATGCTCTGACCATAAACAATGCCACTGCAAGTCAAGACATTTTTTTCTTTGCTAATAATAGATCAGAGCTGGTAGCTCACTGCTCAGGCATTTGGGGCCTGGCGTCACAGTATCCATGTGATACCACAGTACCGCTTGGGACCATCTGGACCAGCGCCCAAAGCATCCGTTTCTGCAAGAGCCACCAAAACTAGTGCAGGGACAAAGACAATCACAAAGCCCGAGTTAAAGCTCTGCCCCTCTGAGGTTTTCCAGATATTTTGTCCACGTTGATGTCAGGACTCAGATGGGTCGCCCTCAAGTCCGACTCTGTCAGGTGAACGCCAGGTTGGCTCTGTGGGGGACAGGACTATCACGTGTCCGACTTGGTCCTTGCCATCCTGATACAAGAATCTCAGCACCAGGTCTTGCTGCTGAAACCTTTCTGCTTCTCAGGGACAGGTGGGTTCTGACACTTTGCACCTCCCATTGGGGCTGCATGAAGAATTTCCTACATTCTCTCATAGACAGCGTTGGAGCCAAACCAGAACTGTCAAAACAGATGCCAGTTCCCATCAGAACCCAGCCCTATTCCATGGCCTTTTCCCCCCTCTGCCTTCCATAAATAAATGTTATAAAAGGTCTTTGCAGCTAATTGCTATTTAATATGCCGAAAAGAGCTTTATGATATAAACACGGTTTAATCCTTGCCTAAGCTCTCAGAGATAGGAAAATCCTTAGCCTCATTACATACATGGCAGAGCAGAGGGGGTAAGGTGCCTCAGGGTCAGCCCAGAGCCGTGCAGGGAGCAGGACTGCATGCAGAGGACCTTCTGTGAGGGGCAGCAAAGCACCCAGCACAGCTCCTGCAGACGTGCTGTCCTTCACCTCCCCAGAGAATCTGACAGTACTGCTGCAGATCTGCCAACACTGGAAAGCATCGAGTGAGGATCCTGCCAAGCTAAACACAAGTGTCTGAAAGTTTGTAATAAATCACTGACACAGAGACCCCACTTTGTCAGCTGACCTAGGTGTGTTGATCTAATTGTGTCAGTGCTGCAAAAATTCATCGCTTCTACGTGCAGCTGACCAGCAGAGGAAGACCAGGGCTCACCTTCCCCTCCACCCTTCCCAGGCTCCCTTCCAGCTGCATCCCCATCCCGGTGCTGAGCAGTGACCTGCTCCCCTGGGCCAGCAGGGAAATCCCGCTCGGAGCAGTGAGACCAGCTGACTCACATCCCTGCCTTTCTCATCACCTGGGCTGCAGCTCGGAGGATTTCTGGCTGAAGGCAAGTGAAGGAATACGCTGAGACTTGTCAACAAACAGCCTCAGCTCACAAGCTTTGCTGCTTAATGTTTCTCTTTCAAACTTCCCTAAAATGTATCAACTTCAAAAATGATCTATTGGAAGGTAAATAACATCTGCCAGCCAAGCAACATTTTTGTTTACTGAAATACACTTTTCTCTGTTTACTCTTATAAACGCTGTTGGATCACATATTCCCAAGGTACAATCTCCCATACAACTGCTTGTGCTCGGTGAAGAAGGGCAGGTCTTGACACTGGAGGAATTTTTATGTGTTTATCTTTAAATGCCCTCCTCTTGCCACAGTCCATACACAAGCAATAAATGAGCTCCCTCTGCTGTCTGCGTAGCAGCCACCACTCGCCGGCTGCATTCCCGGAGGAGACCCCAGTGACACCAGGAGCTGCCACAGCAGGGATAAGTGCTACCTGCTACATTATAGCTGTAGCTAACAACAGCTGCAAGCCTGAGTGAACAAAGAGCAGCCTTCCCACCCACCGCTTACGTCTAAAGTCCAGGTTTCCTTCTTTCTGCAAAGTTCTCCTTTCCAAAAGTATGTGGAAAATCCTCACCTTCCAGATAGCTAATGAAGTCCCTGGAGACAGAATTAAAGATTACCAACATGCCCAGGCTAATACCTGAGCATATGAATTCACTCACAGTGCTCTGGAATCAGTGGATCCCTTAATTAATTATGCCCTTTGATCCCTTAAAAACCACACACACACAAACAAGGTATAGAGCTATACAGGAAAACATCCAGGAACAATCTGCAAGCTAGGTTTCTATTGCTGCATGTCAGACTCCTAGAGCATACCTCAGTGCATTGTCAGGAGCTGATGATCAGCAGCAATGAACCTAATAGGACAGCATCCTCTCTGTGAGAGAATCATCCTCACAGCCTGCCCATCTCACACTAACAGGCACAAGCGTCTCCTGTCTCATCCCTTTGCAGGCACTGACCTCCTCCAGGTGGCTGCTCATGAGTTTGGCCACGTGCTGGGCCTGCAGCACACAACTGTCTCCAAGTCACTGATGTCTCCTTTCTACATCTTCCGCTACCCGCTGAGCCTGAGCGAGGATGACAAGCAGGGTATCCAGTATCTCTATGGGAAACCCAAACTGGATCCCGACCCAACCCCAATGCAGCCAGCAGAGCTGCCCCAGCCAGACCTTGAAACAAACGAGATCACCAACGTGGAGGTAAGCAAACAGCTCGTCTCTGTCTCCTTTAACACTGTGGCGTGTTCTCAGCTGCTGGGGCTGCCCACACCATGGGGCCAGCAGCAGACTTGGACATGATTTGAAGCCTGTTTTCCTCGCACACCACTGAGCTCAGTAGTAGGATGACGTCCTGGACATGGGGCTGTCTCATCAGCTGAACCCAGCCTGGGTGAGGGCGGTTCTCGTGGGTCCCAGCCCCTGACCAGGCCATGCTTTGGCAGGCTGCGCAGCCCGATGCCTGTGAGACAGCTTTTGATGCTGCAGCCACCATCCGGGGAGAGCTGTTCTTCTTCACATCTCGCTACGTGTGGCGGCTCCGAGCTGGAAAGCTGCAGGCCGGTTACCCAGCTCTGGCCTCACGTCACTGGCAGGGGATCCCAAGTTCTGTCGATGCCACCTTCGAGGACCCTCTGGGCAATATCTGGTTTTTCCAAGGTAAGAGCTGGACTGGGATCAGATGGCTCAGAAGTAGTCTTTTTTACAGCGGGGTATTCAGGACACAACAAGTCCCTGGGAGAAGAAACCCTTAGGATACACTCAACAAATCATGATTCTTGCTGTTTATTTCTTTCTCTGTTTAAGCTTTTTAGCAGATGTGAAGGGGAGAAGAGAGAAGAAAGGGTCGCTTTTACTTCAGACACAGCCATATCTATGCCTCTGGAATTGTTTTGAGCCTCTGCCCTGGCCATGCTGCTGGCAGAGGAGGAAGGAAACACTTGTAACATCTTTCTTGGGGATGAAAACAGGAGAAAAATGGCAGGTTCACTGGTGCCCACAGTTACTGAGTTTTGCTAGCACCCCAAAACTGTGAGCCCACAAAGAAGGGAGCCCTTATGTAGAGCCAGGCGACCTCCAGCCACCACAGGGATTCAACACCAGCCACCACAGCGGGGTGAGCCCTCCTGGACAACTCTGGAGCTTAAGACCAGCAAGGACTGCTGTTTCAGCTCCATTGTTTTCTCTAATGCTCTTTCCAAGTGTGTATTTAATATCAGGGACACAGAACTATGTAACTATGCCCAACTGCCCTGACTGTGCATGCCCCATCTGTGCACTATGAGACCAAGCACCAGAAACCACACCAGGCAGCTCTGCAGGCAGCTTTACCACATAAACAGATTGCTCACCTGCAGATGAGGTTTACAGTGTGAAAACTGGCAGGCTCCAACCATGAATTAAAATGAGATAAGGGGAAAGTATTACATGCCATAGGGCAATTACAGAGTTTCCAGTTTAATCTAAACTGGAAATATGTCCCCCATCTCTGTTTCAGCTTGGCAACAAGAAATGGAGTTCTGTAGTTTGCCTCTCTACAGCCACATGCCCCCCTTATGCCTGTACGTATGATCTCCTCCACATAAGCAGGCAGGGTAGGGACTGATCCTTGGGCCCTATCCCGTGCACGGATGTGGCACACAAGGAACGTGCCCCCCTTGAGTCAGTCCATAACCCATTTTGCTTCTCTGCAACCTCCTGGCTGCCCCAGGCCTCGCCACAGAGATGCCACAAGAATCAGCCTTTGTCTGGTCAAACTCTACAGCTTTGTGGATTCCTTTATCCAACGATGGGCTCTACTCCTTTTTCAGCCTAACCAGGGCAAGCTAAAAGTTCAGGGCTGATTCAACTGCCTGAACGCATCCTCAAAAACTACAGGCAACCCCATCTGACTGGAGCAGCTAGAGAGAAACATTCTTTCAAATGCACACAGGCCTCTCCAACACCACAACCATGAGAGGCCAGGAAAGGCAGCCTGGCAGCTAGTATGTAAAGTTAAATCTTGTATTATAACTTCCACAGATACAGAAGAGACAGCTGCTAGGAGTCCTCCCAATCTCACCACTGACAATTCTGGGTTGAATTGAGGGGAGAATTAAATTCCTTACCCGCTTGGTGGGCATTCATAAATAGCTTTCCTTGGGAGCTCTCCCCAGGCACCAGCTTGAGTCTGCAATTCAGTGCCAAGTTATCTGACATCTAAGAACCTCTGAACCTGTGTCCACTTTTCCATCTTCTCACCAGATTCTCAGTACTGGATTTATGACGGCGAGAGAAGAGTCTCTGGTCCCACCCCAACTGTAGAGCTGGGCCTCCCTGCTTCTCCCGTGCAGGCAGCTCTGGTGTGGGGAGCAGAGAAGAACAAGATTTACATCTTCAGTGGAGGCAACTACTGGCGCTTCAACCCTCGCACGCGCCAGGTGGACAACATCTACCCCCGGACCATGGCTGACTGGCGTGGTGTCCCACAGGAGATTGATGCTGCTTTTCAGGATGAGTTGGGTCAGTGCCAGTGGGGACAGGACCTGCTCTGGGGCATGCGCTCAGGGTGATGCTACTTCCCACCAGAAAGACATTTGGTAGCAGTGGACACTTCCCAGCCATAGCACATGCCATGCAGTTTATACAGACTCAGACAGGTCCCTCTTATCTGAGGGACCTCCTCCTGTCTGTCCCTTCCCTGGGTAGGGAACTGTGGATTATTTCATGAAAGTAAGGAGTTTTTAAAGTATTAATTAGAACAATCAACATTTAAGCATCTGATGAGAGAAAACTTAAAACTTCTGGTAAATGAATGGTCACAGAGTCCTACCCAGCTGTTACCATTCCCAACAATGTCAGCACAGCAGCTCTGCCCACAGTTCAGCCTAGCCAGCTGTGCTGAACAAACCAGCTGCTTTCAGTATTACCTAGTGCTGGCAGCTGAGCCAAGCTATCTCACCTACTCCTCCCTCTGTCCTCCACAGGTTTTGCCTATTTCCTGAGAGGCCGAGACTACTGGAAGTTTGACCCCGTCCAGGTGAAGGTGCTGGAGGGTTACCCACGCCTGATCAGCCAGGACTTCTTCAGCTGCACACCTTCCTCCAACTCCTTCCGATGAAGGAGCATCCCCCACTCTTCCCTTCCATCCTTGACCTCCAGCAGCCACAGAGGGCTCCGCTGCCCTTCCTGGCTCCTTTCAGGCGCAGAGCCTGACACAACAGACGTCTGTCACAACAAGTGACAAAGTTTGCTCCTCTCCCGTTCCAGCAGCAGCCCCAGCTTCTGTCACTGTCAACACAAAAGCATCTGCCACATTCTTTACAGACACGAGCAGGCCAGGTCCTTCCAGCGATAGCATCCCAAGAGCCATCAGGCCCGCCTGGAACGGGACTCCCCCCATAACCCCGACCCGCCGTCGCCCTCCGCTCCGTGAGGCCGCAGCCCCTCAGCCAGCCCCCCCGCGGCTCCCAGTGCTGGACACTGCCCCTCCGCACCGCGCTCCGAGGACGGAACCAAACCCGCGGGCGTCAACGTTTGTACGACGCGTATAAACCCTTTTTTTATATATAAATATATATATATATATATATACTGTGTATATACGTATGGATGTACCAATAAAGCGCCTCTTTTCTACCTGCCGCCCGCCTCCCCTCAGCGCCGCCGCCGCCGCGCGCCGGGTGGGCGGGAACGAGCGCGCGGGAACGGGTAGGTGGGAACGAGTGCGCGGGGCGGCGCCCGGCGCATGCGCAGAGCAACAGCTGAGTAGGCCGCGGCGCTGCCTCTCCCGCTGCGCCCCGCTCCTCTCAGCGCCGCCAGAGCCCTGCCAGGCCGCCGCGATGATGATGATGGCGCTGAGCAAAACCTTTGGGCAGAAGCCTGTTAAGTTCCAGCTGGAGGAGGACGGCGAGTTTTATATGATCGGCTCCGAGGTGCGGACAATGGCGGGGGCCTGGAGGGGGAGGAGGGGGGGCGAGGCTGAGGGATGGGCTGCGCTGAGTGGGGGCAGAGGGCTTCGCTGCAGTGATAGCGTGGAAAATGTGCGGCTGAAAGGAGCCGGAGCCGCGGGCAGTCGGGCCGTGTGCGCCGTACGAGGCACGTGGAGGAGGAGGAGGGATCGCCTTCCCGTTCCCCGCTGTCTGCTGGTGAGCGCTGCAGGGCAAAGATACAGTTAAAAATGGCCTGAAAGATGGTAAGGTCAAAATGAGTCCTGTCCGACGAGGAATGTGAGCCTCTATAATCACTGTACAAGCACAGCACCAGTCTAAAAATCTGCTTTCAGAGCCTAGAACTCATCCTGCTGACTAGCAAGCCTTGTGCTGAGGAAGGCAGAACTGCTTTGCGGGTATTCAGCAAGCCTGGAGGAGGCAGAGATCACATCCTGCGTGTTGCAAGGATTTAAAGGACCGGGCAGGGCTGTGGTGTCTGAGCTATCCCAGTGCTGTCTGGGAAAAGGGATGCTGCTGGAGAGCTGGGTATGCAACTGGGTTAAATCCCTACTGAGTACTGCGTTAATATAGCAAAGTCAATGTTAAGTTGTTCAAAAATACACAAAAATTGATTGTTGTCAATGAGTTGGAGTTTGTTATCAAACTAGATTAGGTTGGATGTCAGGGAGAAGTTCTTTACAGGGAAAGTGGTGAGGTGCTGGAACAGCTGCCCAGAGAAGCTGTGGATGCCCCGTCCCTTGGAGGTGTTCAAGGCCAGGTTGGATGGAGCCCTGGGCAGCCTGGTTTAGTATTAAATGGGGAGGTTGGTGGCCCTGCATGTGGCAGGGGGGTTGGAGATTCACGGTCCTTGAAGTCCCTTCCATCCCTGACTGTTCTGTGGTTCTGTGACTCTGTGATAGTGAAGTAAGTGCTGATAACAGCTGTGTTTTCTATATTGTGCCAAAAATTGTATTCTATGATGCCAAACCTGATATATTGTGAAAAACATAAAAAATCCTCTTGGGATTGCTATCATTACAGAGGATTTGTTTCAGCTTCTGATAAGCATTTCTTTAAATGGAATGTGATTCCAGGTCATATCTTTGCTTTTCTTTTTCCAGGTGGGGAACTACCTGCGTATGTTCCGGGGCTCGCTGTACAAGAGGTACCCCTCACTCTGGAGACGACTGGCCACAGTGGAAGAAAGGAAGAAGATAGTGGCATCTTCACATGGTAAGAAGATGAGTAAATGTTCCCAGACTAAATGACTGCCTTGAAGAACTGTCTCTGTAGGCTCAGAAGCTTGTGTACCTTTAGGGCTTTGCTAATCGCTTCAGGTTGCCTCAGTGATGGAGTGTTCTGCAAAATATGCTGTCCTGGGGTTGGCTGCATTCGTCACAATGCAAAAGTCACACCTCAAGATAAACACCGTATTCCAGAAGGGACTTTTATTCTCAGAGGGGTGGTTCTGTCCCTTAGCCCATTGAAAGCCTGCACATGTACTTTATATGTTTACAACTCCCAGAGTTTGTAGTGTGTTTCTACTGATGTTACTGCCACAGTGAGAATACAGCCACCTTGGTATTATTTCTGATGGGAGACTTCTTATATAAGTACTTATATTCATTAGCAGTGTAACTTGTTCCTCAGGCTAAGGCATAATAAAGACAAGCAGTTCATTCTATACTTAAGCCTCCTCCCTCTCATATCCTGCTGACCCATTGCTGTTTTCTTTCTTTTCCAACAGAAAATCAGCGGTCTCACAGTCCCAGAAGATGTAAGTCTGATTTTTGTGTTATTCTTAGCTGTGCTGCAAGAATAATCTCTGTCATGACCTTTAGTGTTATTACAGTATGTATTAACATCTCACCCTCTGATCTCTCCCTGTGGTCTTCCAATTGTGCATCGTCATCACATGCTGAACTTTTCTTTGTCAGAACATCAATGGGTTCTTGGATGCAGATGGTCTGTGCAATTTAGCAAGTTCTGTCCTGAGATTCTCCCCCTTTTCCAAGTCTTAAGAGTTTGTACTCCGTGGCTTAGCTTTCATTAATATTTGATGTGTCTGCTCAGCCACTCGCTTTTCCACTGAGTGTTACATCTCCAATTCCAACCTTTAAGTCCATTGAGGATTTATAGTTTTCTGGGCTTTTCCTCCCAGAGACTGTGGAAGAGATTTTACATCACTGTGGGAGACTGTAGGTGTGCAGAGCTAAATGATGTGATAGTATGGGGTAATACAGGGTAGGAATTTTTTTTTCTCCCCTTATGTAAAAGCACATTACTTATAAGCTTATTTACTATTTAGGAGGACTTAAACACATCATTTTAAATGTTTTTTCTTTCTAGTCCCACCTGCACTGACAGAGAGGGCTGTTCACTATTCAGCTTGTTTATGTCATAGGCTGCATAATGCTCTTTCATGTTAATTATTGGCATCTTTCCTGGTAACAGATCATGGATATACAACATTAGCCACCAGTGTGACACTGTTAAAGGCCTCTGAAGTGGAAGAGATCTTGGATGGAAATGATGAGAAATACAAGGCAGTGTCTATCAGCACAGAACCTCCCACCTACCTCAGGTAACCAGTGTTGGTGAGGACCATGAAGTTGCTGGAACGTGTCAGCATGGACTGGAAGCACTGTCCTGTCCCAATAGAAATCGTATAAACCCAGGGCAGCTTGCAGGGGGTGCTTGCAAGTCTGTGCTAGCAGATATTTGCAATGTTGGGCAAATGAAGATCTCCAAATTGTAAGGATTGGGTTGCTGCCCACATATTACAGGAAGAAAAACATTAGTGTTTGATGATACAGCTCATTTTGCAATTACTTCATTCCAGCTGTAACAGATGTTTTGGAGAACACTCTCTGCACGTACTTTTTGCTGGAGATGTCGCATTTCTCAACAGTCCCTCTGTAAATACAGACAGGAAATTCAAATATGAACCTCATATTTATAGTGGTACACCTGGATCCATGTACGATGGATAGCTGTGAGCTGGAGAATGGACTTCGAAGGAGGGAGTGTGGAATAGGAGTTCTCAGTCCAGCTGTCATTAGGGAGGAGCTCGTAATTTATGGTACTATTCTTAATAATAGTGGCAGTGGTGTTCAGGGCCTGCAGGTTAACACAGTCTCATTCTCCAGAGAACAGAAGGCGAAGAGGAACAACCAGTGGGTGCCAACACTGCCCAACAGCTCTCATCACCTGGATGCAGTGCCGTGCTCAACAACAATTAACAGAAATCGCATGGGCAGGGACAAGAAGAGGACCTTCCCTCTGTGGTAAGGCAGCTTCCTTCTTCAGAAAACTGGAAACAGTTACAACGTGACTCTCTGCAGGGGGCTGCTCTAATAGAGAAGTGGTTGCCATAGCCCTGTAACTTTGAGTTGAAGAGTATGTCTAATAACTGGGGAGTTGAAGTATAGGGATTGGTAACAGTAAAAAGCACCCTCCTTCTATGCGTGCCAGATGTATGGTTTTCTATTCCATGTGCTGTATTGTTGCTCTTTGTTGTAGCTTTGATGACCATGACCCAGCAGTCATCCATGAGAACGCATCCCAGCCAGAGGTTCTGGTTCCAATCAGGCTTGACATGGAAATTGATGGGCAGAAACTCAGAGATGCATTTACATGGAACATGAATGGTATGTAGGAGGAGAGTTTCCTGGGGTTAGAGAGATACAGATGCATTCATCACCAAATATGAAGAGAGAACAAGCAAGTCTTTGCCCCATAAAGGAGGAGCTCTAAAGCTCTTCTACTTTGATGTGTCCTTCAGCTCTCATGGCTCTTAGCAGATCCCTGACACTTCCACGGGTTGCAGTAATTCCTGGATGCTGTAATCTGAAAAGTTAGGCCTGTTCTCATCCACTTAATCAGTTCAGCAGCCTAATGGAAATGTCAGCCAAGATTAATACTAAATAGTTAATGTGTATTTAATTAATTAATAGACCGTTGCTGCGTTCTTTGTGAAACAAGAAAGTCAAGTCAGTGTGTACATGTGTGCAACCCCAGAACAAAGCACTGTTGTAACAGCAAAAGGTGATTCCCTTCTTCAGGCAAAGATCTTAACTTGGGTATTCTGTAAGTGGCAGATATTGGTGGCTGAGAAATAAGTCTTTTTGTTCTTATTCTGTATCAGAAAAGCTGATGACCCCAGAAATGTTCTCAGAGATTCTTTGTGATGACCTGGATTTGAATCCTCTGACCTTTGTCCCTGCTATTGCCTCTGCCATCCGACAACAGATCGAATCGTACCCAACTGACAGCATCCTGGAGGATCAGTCAGACCAACGTGTTATTATTAAGGTAAGGACAGGGGGGCACTGGAATGAGAGCTGAACCGTTTGCATTTCTCTAGGTTGTTTTTTTTTTTTTTATGGGGGAAAAATAGTACAAGGACTTCCATCAAAACTAGGAGTTCCTAATTCCAGTCCTGTGTCCAGGTTAGATTTTGTCCTTGAGAAATGAATGACTTGTTTCTTCCCTTGTCTCCAGCTAAACATCCATGTAGGGAACATCTCCCTTGTAGACCAGTTTGAATGGGACATGTCAGAGAAGGAGAATTCACCAGAGAAGTTTGCCTTGAAGCTGTGCTCAGAGCTTGGCCTGGGTGGGGAGTTTGTCACTACTATTGCCTACAGCATCCGGGGACAGCTGAGCTGGCATCAGAAGACATACGCCTTCAGGTACAAACTGTCATCTTTCTGGGTGGGTGTAGATGCATGTTCTAACTTCATGGCTGCTAGCAC